GCTATTTTTAATCCTTAACAGTGTTCACTGTTCACTTGGCGAGCAAAACTAGAGCCCTGCACTTTTATTCACCAATCCACTGAAAAATTCATGAGCTTGTGCTTTAAAAAAAGAAGAAAAAAAAGAGCTGCCCAGTTTTTCTTCCTTGCTGCTCAGGTTTTTCACATTTCACTTGCTGCTGCTTCTGCAGCAGCTGCTCCAAAACAGAAAAGAAAACATCTAGCCACTGGTAAATCCTTTAAGGACAACAGCATAGCTGAATGCTTAAATTGGACTTAAATCCTTTGATGCACGGAGTTGTCCATGACAGTATCCAAATCTGAATTGTGCAGTAGGAAAACCGCTTGGAAAATTGACATAAAACACACAGAAACGCTGCTGAAGCGTTTAAAGCAAGTCAGTGTGACATTTTAAACTGGCTCGTCAGCGTTTGTCCTCGTGTTCTAGAAGACGTAAACAGAGCACTTGCTCTACTTTTTGGCATTCTGTGCCAGACAGGCTCAAACATGGTAAGGGCGACATGCAGACACACACACACACACACACACACACACACACACACATACTTTGTTTTGGTTCCTAAAAGAGGAAAAGAATAGCTTTGTGCTGTTCCTCGGACTCCCATTGAGCCGTATCCATACCAGTGAAGTAATCCACTTTGTCAGTTATGTTCTTGGTGGGAACAGTGCAGATCTCATCACATCTAGCAGGGCAGAGAGGACGTTTCACTCTTATGTAGTCATGTTATCATCCAGTCTGATCTTTGTCAAAGACATTCACTCCTAAAAGTCCACTCATGCTTTTCTTTTTCTCTTCTCTGCATTGCTGAAAAAATAGTTTTGAGGTTGGAATTTTTTTGGCTTTGAACATAATGAGATTGGAAACCATATCTTTCTGCAGATAATCAATCCATGTCTGTTCTAAATCATGTTCACAGCTCTGATGTACCCACAGACCCCGATAATGCTGATTTCAGCCGTATTAAATCACCACAGGGCAGAACCTTATCCTCGGATCGGATAACCTCTTTGATCTAAAAGTTTCCTATCCTATAAAAGTTTCAAGAGTCACAAGAAAAGGAAGGAGCGGAAGGAGCTCTGACCAGTTCTGATGTGCTGCGAGAACACAACAGTTGGGTTTGGTTGTTCTGTAGCAGATGGTGTTTCTGATAGCTTGGGCCTGATTTCTGCCAGTGAAGAAAAAAAACTGAGCACATAAGATACACAAACAGTGACACTGCCTTTACTTTTTCATAACTCCTCCTGGTGCATCATTTTATCACAACCTGAAAAAGCATATCGGTCATAAGAAACTTTCTACTCCAATCCAGTGGCTGATGGGTGGATTAGACTCACGTTTTTCTCCTTTTAGCACAGATCAGTGACAAGGATGAGACAGCATATATCTGGCTGGGACTTTTCCATATCTTTGAGATAGAAAAAGCACTTAGTGGACTGCATAAGCCAGCACAGTGCTTTTAGCCATGAGAGCTGTTCCCAAGGGGAGGGGGGAGGGGGTAAGCAGTACAAGGTCTTTTCAGAGCAGATGATAAAGATGCAAGATAAAATAAGAAAGAAGGGGGCTTAATGGTTAGAGAGGTGAAGCTGTGATGACAAGGCTGGTGTTTCAAAAGGCTGGCGTGATGGGAAAGAGTAAAAATATGATAGACAACACTTTCCTTTAAGGTTAACTTTAACTTGGTATCTTATGGTCAGCTGTGAGTGTTTCTGCTGTTGCATGAGCCTTACATATCTTAATAATAGTTCATCTGTCCACCTTTTCTTCAGCAATCTTGATAACTCAGTCAAACTTGGTGGATGCAATGCTGAAGAGCCGAGCGAGTGCGTTGATGAACCTGAGGTTCAGTGCATAATTGCCCATATTCTTAGAAAAGTAAGTTTTAGGTTGGAGTACGGCATTTTCTGTGATTGAGTTTTAATTCAAGGAGGAACAAAAGGTGTTACGGCACCTGAGGTTCTCATTCCCACACAATATTGTCCCGGCAGGAAGCAAAACGTTCCTGTGAATTTCTGGTTGATTTTTTGGTTTTGCTTAGCGCTAGCTTGATGTTATCAGTGAGCTTTGGCTTGTGTTCTTTCTCGTAAGCGAGAGAGGGATAGTTTTATGCTTGGACATGTCTGCAACGGGCCCTAGTTTGTGTTATTTTAGTAGTATTTTGTTGGTTATGTCTGTTTTCGTTTTTGTTACAGTGCACTGAGATAAGAAAATCTGAGAGGTGTGATCCACCGGTGGTGATATGTTGATATTTTGTGAGTTCATGATTTAACAATCAGCTCTTTAAACCAGGCCTGAAAGATTGAAATTTAAAGCGCTATGAAATATTCTTACAAAAACAGTTGCAAAGTGTGCTTCTCCATGATTGTAATTGGCTTGGGAGAAATTCACTTATAGGGAACACTGAGAAGTTCTGAGTCTAAAAGGATTGCACCGAGTCAATCCGGCCCAAAAAACAACAAGGAATTGTTTTCCTTTAAAATGATGACGTCATCTTGCTGGTGATGGATGCTCGAATAGGTTGCGCGTGAGACTCCATTATCAGCAACATCTGGTATGAATGTGTGTGGAGGTATGCATGTGAATGGACTGTGATGGACTGACGACTAAAAGTTTTGACTGACTTGATACTGAGACAATGACTGCACCCACTTTAGGATTAGTAAATGCCAATAAACAATTCACCCAGCGGACAAGAGAAGGGTGGATGCTTCGTTTTGTTTGTTTTGTTTTTTCAGGAGCAGGAGGATAAGAGAGACTGGAGGAGGAGACTGTAGCTTCACATAAGTATGAACTGCAGACTTAACACTTTGGTTGCTAATTCTGAGTTACTGATGTTTGCATTAAGAAAACTGTGCTATATTAGCTGTGTTTTGATTAAGGTATCATGTTATATTATTGGGAATGCCAAATGCTACAGTGGAGAAAACTATTGATATCACTCATGACTGGAATATGTTACTATTAACCATAGCAGGCCACTGTAAAAAAGTCAATTAAATTTTATAGAGGAAAATCGCCAAAACTTTAACAATACCTATGAATGACTGGCCACATTCAGAATAGAGATATGCAATAATAAACATTGGTCCACGTGATTTAGGTTCTCACTTGAAATAGTAAGTTATTAAATGTAGAATATAATTGACAGGGACATTTGATAGGATGTGGTACTGCAAAAGAACAAGAGCAAAGTAAATAAAGAAAAATATTGTGTTTAGTTTGGATAAATTCAAATTAAAATGTACCATTACACTCAGAGGATCAATATGAAATAAAACATATGCAAAATTTGTATGAAGTACATGACTGATAACTGTTCTGTCCTGAGCTTTTGTTTCTATAGCACCCACTTGACCACACCAACAGTTTCTCGCCACCAACAGGGGGTATTTGCAAAGAATAGGGAGGAATATCATCAAAACTGGGAAAGGTAAGCCCCGAAGGGGGTGATGACACCATAACTTTCACTTATGGTCAAATTCTTAAAATTTGACCCCAAACTTGAAAATTCTTCAAACATTTAGAGACAGAGTGGATAAACATAATGTCGCAAACCACATAAGGATGGAGCATTTGAATCAATAGACCCCCCCCCCATCTCTGCTTTTAAGTCCACCTTATTCTCTGACCTTTCCCGTCCACTAAGCTCCCCTCTGCTTGTTGTCGTTATGTGTCTGCACATTTGTTGTTAGCCCTTTGATCTGTACTCTGTCTTCAATTTTTACTTTTTTATTTGATGTTTGTAATTACATGTGGATGCATGTATATAGGATTACTCATTTGTACAAAACCTGGTCAATGAAAGCTATGTTTACATGTGATTTCTAAATAAATATTATTTACTTACTAGAACAGCAAAGTTTCTGCATATCCTAAGTATGTTTACCCTAAAGGACACTTTTTTTTTTGTTCTCAACAGAAACAGAAAATTTAAAGTATTTTAAACAAAACAATGACACTGCATATATTTTCCCCCCACTATAAGATAAATTACATTTCCAGAAGTCACTGCAATATTAGTAATTATAAAGAAACTGTCTTGATCGCTGCATACTGAAATGGATGTTTCAACACATCATCTTGACGATAGCACTTCTATTCTTTTCTACATTACCTACACTTAAGAAGAGTAAAAAAAAAAGATGTCACATTGTATTGACATGGTGGCGAGATTTTTTTCTTGATCCTGCAGTTACGGTGGGGTCTTTAGAGTGAATGGTGATAATCGTGTTTTTTATAACAAGCCGGGTGCAGAGGAAAAGGTGGAGATCTCAGGTGTTACGTCAATCAGAGAAGGAAACAAAAAAACTTTTCTGCGTTTCTTGACAAAATGACCTTGAACAACAATGATCAGAGTCATCTGAATGAGCCAACAGGTTCACCATTAAATGTATAATATAAAAGTGCCGATTTGAAAAACAAAACAAAACAGGAAAACCTATGTAGTCTTTTAGGAATGTATATCACTAAACATATAATGGCAGAAATCAAAATTATACTGCCTAATACCTTATTGAAGGTCTTATTGAGACAGCATATTGTTGTAATGATTGAAAATCCGAAAAGACCCAGACCTCAACGTTTCACAAGAATTCAGGAATGCCCTTTGTCAAGCTACAGATTTGAATAAGATAATAAGCTGGTTTAGGGCTAAAGGTGGATTGCAGGAGCAAGATCTGAGGTGTTAAACCAATCAGTCACAGAGATACGAAAACCTTTGTGCTTCCTGTCAAAATGTCCTTGAAAAAACAATATTCACGTGTGCTGTGAAAGCACGTCTCAGCTGAAGCATGCCTAAAATGTGTAACTAACACAAACCTGCACATTAAAAAAAAATAACTCTTAGGCATACTCCTAAGATATATTATTTAAATAAATGCATTCATGAATGTATATCATTGAATGAGGAATGGGGGGGAAAAAATGAAATTATGGCGCACAATGCCTCAATAAAGGTCTTGCGTTGCACGCCTGTTGTTGAAATGATTGAAAATGTGAACTAGCCGAGACCCCGGCATTCTCCCAAGAATTTAGAAATGCCCTTTTGTCAGACCAAGGATTTTAATAAGATTTTACAAAATAAGTAAGAAAAGTTTTTAGAGAAAGTATTTCAAAAGCATGTTTTCATTTTTAATCTTACCTTAAAGGAGCTGATCTTGTTTCCAGACAGATTGAGTTTCTGAAGGTTGACATTAGGATCAAGGCTGTGCCCTTAGAAGAAGTTAAAAATTATTTGATTGCCATCATTATTTTTCACATAGCTCGCCGAATCTCCATCAAACTGAACACAAATTACTCTGAGAACATACCGATCTTTTCAATAATGTTGTCAGCAAGGTTTAGTTCTTTAAGGTCTAGAAGTGTGTCCAAGCCCTTTAAGAGAAAACAACAACAACAACCACATGTGGAGACTAAGTTAAGCCTTTCTGAAGGTCTTTCAAAGTTAACTTTGGAAATTGGCCGATTTTTCAGTCCAGTCATTATACCCGATCATTTTCAGACCAATGTTTGTTTGTTTAGCCACTCATCACTGACCCATGAGTCGTTCAAGTATTTGAAAAAAGCACCTACCTCATGGGATGAACCAGTGTTGTCTCTAAGCACTTTTTAAATTGGTTCTTTACAAAAAAAAGAGAAAACCAGACAAGTGGAGGGAAAAAGGGAGACCTTAAAAAACTATCTACACCATCTGAAATTGATGGAATTATTTAGGCAGAAATGTACCATCAGCCTTTGAGCCACCATTCAATACCATCTGGAAAGTATCTGATTGACAACTGCTTCGTTTTCCAGCAATGATCCCAAACACATTGCCAATGCAGTAAAGGTCTACCTTGTCATACTAAGATGGTCATATCAAATATTGACTTTCAAGCTTTTCAGAATTCTACAAACTCTGTTTTTGACATATATTATCATATATGTTTGCATGTTTCAATAAATTGCTGCACCTGCTGTATTTCCTATTTTCCTAGCAAAATATAAAGAAATGAGTGGTGGCCCACAACTTTTGCACAGTACTATGTGTAAAAGAGCAGTTTTGTTCTGCTAAATAATTAAAAATCTTGCATTACAAACACAGAAAAGCAAAGGAGATACAGCTCTAACCTTAATCTTAGTTATGCAGTTGTTATTGATCCACAGCACCTCTAGGTGGACCTGCAAGTCCAGATTCTTTATTTCACAGATTTTGTTCTCATAAAGGTACAGTTTCTCCAGCTGCAGGCAGTTCTGTAGTCCAGATATTTCCTGCAATAAAGAGAAAGTAGATTGTTTGATGCATGTGGCACAAAACACACATGCTTAAATGTGCATGCGACACCTGTTTATATCAGTCCTCATATAGTTCATATTTTTTTCACGGTTTTCAGACTTTTTGGGACAAAAAAAATCAGTGTATCCATGCACCTCCTCCTTTTTCAATCCAGCTCATTCACAGTTATCACCCTGCCTGCAGGAACACCTGCACGTGTGTCTTTGTCAGCTGGGGATAATTATGCTTAACACACATGATTCAATGGTGGTGTGAACTAATATTTCATATTTTATAGGTGAAAAAGACGCATTACTAAAGAATCTTCACTTGCATCCACATGGCAAAATATCTAAAGGACAGAAATGATTCAAGCTATCACCAGTTGTTGTTACCAGCATTTATTAGCATAGCGAACACACCGTCAGATGGCACTGGACTATCCAGAGCTCCTGAAGCAGAGGACAGCACTCAAGCCCATCAATGTGCTCTATGTTCTGGCCTATTATGGTAAGCTGGGACAGCCTTGGGAAGAAGGAAAGGCCAATCATGCGGGGGAAACCAGAGAAGAACATCTCCAGTGATGTGATGTTGCTTCCCTCTTGTGCAATTTTTTCATAGGGGACTCCATTAGCCATGCACTGTTAATTAAAAACAGTAAAGAATGAAGTAAATAGGAGAAACCCGCACTGATTTTTTTATACGTATTCAAAACTGAATATTTATGTGATAGTTACCAGTTTTTTGATCACTTCCTCTTCACTGCGGTTCTTTTGCTTCTCATTTGACAACATATCTCTGCAATTAATTAAAAATATGTTGCTGAAAATATCCTGCCTTATTTTTACTGAAAGAAAACGAATGGACAAGTTAAAGTAGAGAGTTAGTACAGGTAAACCTACCTGTAATAACTGAGGTCAGCAAGTAAGAGTACGAAGTCACCACACATCAGCGCTAGCTGTGCTAGCTTCTAACGTTGTGCTTGTAAATAGTAACTACGACAGGAGACCGTTTAAATATCAATCGGCTAAATTTAGTGTACATCTAAATCAAAATTATTTTCCATGGAGAACTGAACAGCAGCAAACCTCGCTGGTTGCTTTAGCCAGTGTTAGCCATCAGTCTGTATCCAGGCAAGAGCGTCTGGTTGCTAAGACAGACTGCAACTTTTTGAGGTCCTGCTCATATTAAAAGCGGCCGCATGAGGGCGCCATATGGCAAGGACATTTTTTTAAACATCAAACCATAAAATGCACACAACTATTTCTCCATTTAAAACATTACCATGGGATACATGAGGGATTTTTGCCACTTTTGAAAAAATAAAAACATATTCTTTTCGCATTATTAAAAAAACATCTTTATTATTCTCCTCTTTAGGCCATGTGTCCAGTTTTAATAAGCTAACTGTCGCTATTTTCACAAACCAATGCTAAGCACTGGTTTGACTGAATCCTCTGACCTCATTTATAGGCCGAAAACACCTTTTTGATCTTTGACTGTGTCCCAAATAAAGTGGTGCCAACCGTAAGGGCTCGCGGACACTATGACGTCAGCGTCGGAGCAGTGAACTAAAACAATCAACCTCACTCCTTCTCCTTCTCCTCTCACTCCCGACTGCACCGCCTCATCTGTGGCGTCCACAAACCCCGGTCTCAGCTGACAGACGCCAGCCAGGAGCCGCACTGTTGTTGTTGTTGTTGTTGCGCGGTTTTCTCCGTCACACATCCTAGCGCAAACGATTACGGCAGAGAGAGAAGCGGCAGCAGCTTTGTGTAGCTAGTATAATATCATCTGTCCGACGACAGGAAAAAGGCATGTCTGCGCAGCCCGGTGAGGAGCTAGGCTCGGAGGGGAAGTGGTTTGGGGATGACTATGAGAGGAACGGCCTGTTTGGTAACACACAGAGCCGCTTCGGCGAGCTGCGCGAAGAATTGAAGCCGAGAGGCGGCGACGCGTTGGGCGACCTGGATCAACAATTTCATCCTTTCCAGGACGACGGGAAAAGGCCTCCCGTTGCTATGGAAACTGCATCTACAGGTAAAGCTTGCACTTATTGCCCTTAAATGCTTAAATATGTGACAGTTTATAACCAGTCTAGCCACGTTACGTGTCTTCTTTTTCAGAAGGTAACAGGACGATGTTACGGTGTGAATAAATACAGTGTGAGGGACGCAGGCGAGAGCATTTATCAGAGAATTAGCGTTACGACAGACGGCTTGTCTGTAAGCCCGGGATAAAACTTCCGAGCTCGAAAACAAAAACAAAGCCAAGAGGAAGCAACTTCAGTGATGCCGTAGGGGAAAAAATGGCAGACATATTTCCAAACTAAACTCGGCAACAGCCCTTTATAGTTATGAAACGTCATATAGCTCATGACCGAGTGGTTTTCCGCTCAGGAGACAAGAATCTGCTTGGATGAAGGCAATACCAAATAGCCTGTTGAACTCTGAATGGCCTGTTCATTACCATAACTACTGTATCATCTCGCACATGTGGACTAGGTCTACATCTATATTAGAAATATTTGCTTGTTGAGAAGGTGAGGCTACAAATTACAGGCCTTATCTTACAAAGCCAGTGTCTGGATAGAAAGAGAACAGCTTAATCCCTAAGCATAAGATTTCATTAGTCCAGTAACAAAACTAAAAATACAAAAAAGAATGGGTAACAGAGAGGACACGTTTATAACATAGATGAATAAACATGAAAGAACCTAATATAATGATAATAATAATAAAATAGAAGAAGAACTCACGAACTAGATGAGTTTGGAAAGGTTTTGGGAACTTTAGGGGAGTTGTTGTCTGTCTTTTATATTTATGCGCGAGAGAGGGGTTACATGATGCATCCCAGTTTTTGTGTGCACCTCCGTGGATAGTGTCAGTGATGTCATCACAGTGCTGGATGCTGGACTTTGTGATAAGATAAGGCAGACCTTGGTTCTGGATCCGTCATCATTCTCCTTAGCACTGCTCATCTCAAGCTGCTATTTTTAATCCTTAACAGTGTTCACTGTTCACTTGGCGAGCAAAACTAGAGCCCTGCACTTTTATTCACCAATCCACTGAAAAATTCATGAGCTTGTGCTTTAAAAAAAGAAGAAAAAAAAGAGCTGCCCAGTTTTTCTTCCTTGCTGCTCAGGTTTTTCACATTTCACTTGCTGCTGCTTCTGCAGCAGCTGCTCCAAAACAGAAAAGAAAACATCTAGCCACTGGTAAATCCTTTAAGGACAACAGCATAGCTGAATGCTTAAATTGGACTTAAATCCTTTGATGCACGGAGTTGTCCATGACAGTATCCAAATCTGAATTGTGCAGTAGGAAAACCGCTTGGAAAATTGACATAAAACACACAGAAACGCTGCTGAAGCGTTTAAAGCAAGTCAGTGTGACATTTTAAACTGGCTCGTCAGCGTTTGTCCTCGTGTTCTAGAAGACGTAAACAGAGCACTTGCTCTACTTTTTGGCATTCTGTGCCAGACAGGCTCAAACATGGTAAGGGCACATGCAGACACACACACACACACACACACACACACACACACACACCCCAACTACTTTGTTTTGGTTCCTAAAAGAGGAAAAGAATAGCTTTGTGCTGTTCCTCGGACTCCCATTGAGCCGTATCCATACCAGTGAAGTAATCCACTTTGTCAGTTATGTTCTTGGTGGGAACAGTGCAGATCTCATCACATCTAGCAGGGCAGAGAGGACGTTTCACTCTTATGTAGTCATGTTATCGTCCAGTCTGATCTTTGTCAAAGACATTCACTCCTAAAAGTCCACTCATGCTTTTCTTTTTCTCTTCTCTGCGTTGCTGAAAAAATAGTTTTGAGGTTGGAATTTTTTTGGCTTTGAACAAAATGAGATTGGAAACCATATCTTTCTGCAGATAATCAATCCATGTCTGTTCTAAATCATGTTCACAGCTCTGATGTACCCACAGACCCCGATAATACTGATTTCAGCCGTATTAAATCACCACAGGGCAGAACCTTATCCTCGGATCGGATAACCTCTTTGATCTAAAAGTTTCCTATCCTATAAAAGTTTCAAGAGTCACAAGAAAAGGAAGGAGCGGAAGGAGCTCTGACCAGTTCTGATGTGCTGCGAGAACACAACAGTTGGGTTTGGTTGTTCTGTAGCAGATGGTGTTTCTGATAGCTTGGGCCTGATTTCTGCCAGTGAAGAAAAAAAACTGAGCACATAAGATACACAAACAGTGACACTGCCTTTACTTTTTCATAACTCCTCCTGGTGCATCATTTTATCACAACCTGAAAAAGCATATCGGTCATAAGAAACTTTCTACTCCAATCCAGTGGCTGATGGGTGGATTAGACTCACGTTTTTCTCCTTTTAGCACAGATCAGTGACAAGGATGAGACAGCATATATCTGGCTGGGACTTTTCCATATCTTTGAGATAGAAAAAGCACTTAGTGGACTGCATAAGCCAGCACAGTGCTTTTAGCCGTGAGAGCTGTTCCCAAGGGGAGGGGGGAGGGGGTAAGCAGTACAAGGTCTTTTCAGAGCAGATGATAAAGATGCAAGATAAAATAAGAAAGAAGGGGGCTTAATGGTTAGAGAGGTGAAGCTGTGATGACAAGGCTGGTGTTTCAAAAGGCTGGCGTGATGGGAAAGAGTAAAAATATGATAGACAACACTTTCCTTTAAGGTTAACTTTAACTTGGTATCTTATGGTCAGCTGTGAGTGTTTCTGCTGTTGCATGAGCCTTACATATCTTAATAATAGTTCATCTGTCCACCTTTTCTTCAGCAATCTTGATAACTCAGTCAAACTTGGTGGATGCAATGCTGAAGAGCCGAGCGAGTGCGTTGATGAACCTGAGGTTCAGTGCATAATTGCCCATATTCTAGCTGCAAGTTCCTGTCTGTTACCCATGCTTCCTGTATATTGACTGCTGACTACTCCATTCTGTGTGTAGGAGGAGTGGCATCCACAATCGCCACGTTCTCCACGGCAATGTTTATATTCAATTAATGCATCCTTATGCCAGTCCTCTTTTCACAACCATAATTTTTAGCTTGTCTGTGTGTGACACGTTTAGGAGACATCTGTAAATTGTAGCTTTAAAGAATTAACCTGGGTTGCAGTCCTTCTGAGTTGGCACTAGTTTTAATAATGTGTAATCTGGATTTACAGTCTCCTGGACCTGTTACCTAATGCTGAGGTATATAAGGACAAATAAAGGTGTGGTAGACCAAACTCAAGAAGCTCTTTTGAAGAGGGACCATATAAAAGCATTAGTGCGCTCATTATATCAATAAGTCAACATTTTAGATCCCATGTGTTCACCCGGAAGGCAATTCAAAGCCAACATGTGAAACATGATGCCATGTATCTGATCTTACCAGCTCTCTAGCGCTGAGCAGAGAGTCCTGAGTAATCCCTGGGCATAGTGCGAAAGTGCTCTCGGGATTAGAATTACTATCAACAAAGGCACTCACAACGAGCATTGACCATTAGTTTTTTTTTGTGTGTGGGCGTGTAAATTATGGTAGCCTTTATCAGCTTGCCTTCCTACCTGCATCCACACTTTTAAAAAGCGAATTGCTGTTTAAAAGTCACGCTAAATTGACCCGATGAGAGCGGTGTGCAGACGCTCGGTCTGGATCCTCCCACATTCTCTCTATTCATCCATAAAGCTTCATCCAACCAGGAAAGATAGAATCAATACACTGGAAGACAAGCACTGTATAACAGCTACAGTCTAAATGGGGATAGATTTTATTTAAACTGCCTCTAAATGGATTTAT